TATTACCTCCATGCGTCAACCCAGTATCTCACCCTGCCATCTGCCAGGTATCACCACGTGAGTGAGGTAACATATCTCACCATCTCACCTCACATTCCCACACCAACCAATAAATATTTATCGCGTCTCGCCCCACACTTCAATAAATATTTATTACATTTTTTTTTGTCTTGACGAACACATTAAAACATTTGTTATTCCACATTTGAATAAATACTGATAAAACGAACCACGGGATTACGTCCCTTGTATTAAAAAATCTATTATCTCTACGCTAGAGTGATGTCCCATTTCCTTAGCAACGTAACAAATTTGACGCTATATTTTCTAAACATCATGGTGAGGTGCCAATATTCAAGTGGAAGTTTTTTAATTGCCTGATCTATAGATGGGATTAGAGGATTATAGGATTAGAGCTGAACATAAACCACATAAGATCAAATGATGCAGTTGATTGTCTTAATACAAAAATTTGAACTTCAGCCAAAATTGAATTTCTTTAAATCTTTATCAAAGAATAGCAGATACACCCCAGATACAGACCAGACATATCTTACATACAAGCAACACTCCAGATGCACACCAGATACACAGCAGATACACTGCAGATACACAACAGATACAAAACAGATAAACCTTGATACATCCTGATACACACAAAATCAACTTGTCAGATACCTGACCATTAAGAAAACATACAGCAAGAATTGTTAAGTGGACAACTAGCCTAACAACCAACCCGCCAACCAACCCGCCAACCAACCATGCAACGAAACAACCAACCAACCACCCAGCTAACCAACCCGCTACCAACCTACCACCCACAAAACCATTTCATCTATGACACCAGCTATTTTATTCTCTGACAACACCCTGTTGAAGAACGACAGCAACTTTTTGATCTATGAAAACAACAATAAGATAAATAAAAACCCCACACATTTGATCACCCCTCCCCAACAAACTCACACCATGCAGCCACACTTTGATAATACTCCCTACAACACGAACTCGTGGTGTGGCCCAGCTCCCAGCAGTAAAAAATGGCAACGATCAGAAGGTAAATCTGAAACGAGGCTGTCAGACCAAAGCTCATGTTTCATGGCGCAGGTTTTGATCTTCGGTATAGAACAGCCCGCAAGTCTCATCAAATTAGAGGCATCACGGCATAGGTGGATCTAGTGGAGCCCACCTTCAGAGGCGCACCCGAGTTTTGTATTAGCTCACCACATCAGAGGTGCGTTTAGAGATTAGTGACGCCCACATCAGAAGCACCCCTAGAGATTAGTGCTACCCACATCAGGGGCGCCCCTAGAGATAAGTGCTACCCACATCAGAAGCACCCCTAGAGATTAGTGCTACCCACATCAGGGGCGCCCCTAGAGATAAGTGCTACCCACATCAGAGGCGCCCCTAGAGATTAGTGCTACCCACATCAGAGGCGCCCCTAGAGATAAGTGACACCCACAATAGAGCCCCCCTAGAGATTAGTTATATCCACATCAGAGAGACGCCCCTAGAGATTAGTGACACCCACAATAGAGCCCCCCTAGAGATTAGTGATATCCACATCAGAGAGACGCCCCTAGAGATTAGTGACACCCACAATAGAGCCCCCCTAGAGATTAGTGATATCCACATCAGAGAGACGCCCCTAGAGATTAGTGACACCCACAATAGAGCCCCCCCCAGAGATTAGGGGCACCCCCATCAGAGGCACCCCTAGCTGCACACCTTAATCGCGTGGCGTCTGGCCATGCTGAAGCAGCTAAATCGTTAAACTGTTGCACTGTAAGTGCTGTTAATACTTGTGTATTTCTCGCATCAGCTAGATCCATCCCTGGAATGTCAAGTTTATTTGAAAATTGTGAACAAATTTAGAACTATCCTAACTACTTTCATTTGCAAACCAGCGTGACGTACTAATTATAAAGCTAACCCCACCCCTCCCACTCCACCACCACCACCACCACACGCTGCAGATGTGTATCACGTGGTCATACCTGTCCGTTTATAGATTCCAACGTTATACCTCCCATGTTTTTGTTTATACTTCATGAGTTTCCACCAGCAGTAGTGCTGTGATCTCTAGCGCGTGACATTGTTTAGGTAGTGCTTGCAGTTTAAAATTTGCGCAAGGGACATAATTCTAACTGCATTCCTCATTTTATGTATTAAGTTTTTTTTTAAAGTATAGGTAACAAACACCGTTTTTTTGCTTATGTTGTAATATTTAGTGTGAGTTATTTACAATGTACAATATAAAAAACGAAAATGATAAAAAAAAAAATTAAAATATTATTTTATCAATAAAACGAAGATTTATTTTTTATATTATGGCTTCTACAGACTTCAATGTGCCCGTAACGTTATTTTTATTATTTTTTTAATAAATAGATCGCCCATAGCCTAGGAATGAGATTAGAACAGACTTTTCGGCTCTACACAAACTACAGTCGCTAATAGATCACGTGATTACACAACGATCGAGTACATGACATCTGCCTGCGACACAAAAGAGACATACCAAACTATAAAGACACTCAAGACAATGAATACACAATAGACAGACACGCCAAGCAAAAGGCACAAGGCACTAACAGACAAGGGAGAAGAGATTAAGTAAACAAAACAGCTAATCCACACAGACGGAAAAGCTAATCCGAACAGCTAATCCACACGGACGGAAACGCTAATCTGAACAGCTAATCCACACATACTACAGAACTCCTAATCCGAAAAACTAATCCACACATATGGGACGGCATGGCCTAGAGGTAGAGAGTTCGACTACTAACCCGATACTCTCGAGTTCAAATCCGGGTCCAAATCAGTGGAACGTCCCTGAGTCCACCCAGCGCTGATTGGTACCTAAGTTACGATAGGGAAACAAAGGTGGCTGGGCATAGTGCTGAACACACTATCCCTTCATATACCGAGGTCTCTGCAGCAGATGAGCTCTACTCTGCCCAAAGAACGGAAAACAAACAAAAACAGTGAATCCACACAGACAAAACAGCTTAAAAATATACGATAACCACGACAACGCCTGTTTGAAAACCTGGACACACTTCAGCAGCAGACTTCGACACACAAACAAGCTCCGTGAAAACATCTATGTTGTTGATTGATTTGACCTAAATCTTCAGCATAATAACATATTGCACACTCTAACGCATTGGTGCACCCGTTTAGTTGGTGCGCATTTCATAAGATCTGGCAGAACATAGGTAGGTAAAATAAAATACTACGCACATATAAACGGCAATTTGCTCGAAAGTTTTTTTCTTCACATCGGCACTTACTACCCTGTACAAAATTACGAAATCTAATTTGTATTGACAAGCGTAACATTTTTGTGGAAGTTAATTAATTCGTACACGTTGAGATTTTCAGCTGTTTGTTTTTAAAGAAACACGTGTGTACCCGACTTTCAGTGCATGTTAAAATTCTGGATACATTTTTTTAACGTTCTATACGCTACTTACTTCACACTTGCCACCAACGATCCACTAGCTTGCTACTAACTTGCCACTAAGCTGCCTCTAACTTGCCACTAATTTGCCACTAACTTGCCACTAATTTGCCACTAACTTGCCACTAACTTTCTACTAACTTCCTACTAGCTTGCCACCAACGATCCACTAGTTTGCTACTAACTCGCCACTAGCTTGCCTCTAACTTTCTACTAGCTTGAACAAGAATCTTAAGGTTACGCTTACAAATGACTCCACATGTATGTAAAACATAAATCTAAAAATACCCGACCGAACCCCGCATAAAATCAAGCAATTAGTTAATGACTGGAGTGCAGCTTGTTATCAACGGGACAGTTGAAGCAGCAGACCACGAGCGAGAAGTCTGGCACCACCAGAAGCTCATCAAAAGATAACTTAATTAACCTCTCCTGGCCATCAAGTGAAACCCTCAACATGCCAGATATTGGGAGGGAAAATATTGAACATTTTTTTTTGTGTGTGTGAAGGTGTTTATCACATTCTTTAATGTACAAATTATAGGAGGAGGGAAGATGAAACAAATGACTTTTCTCTCCCCCCTCCCCAAATGACATGGTGAAAGGGGGGGGGGGTCTTCAACATGTCATAGAAACTCATATAACAGAAAAATTGGTTCTAAAATTTCTTAAACGTAGACAGTTTCATAAAGGTATATCGGAGAGAAAAATTCTGTCGTGGCAAGTAACCCTTGGCAACGAACAACACAATCACTGTAGGTGTCAGAGGATAGTTCTAGTAACTTCTAGTAACTGTTATATTTTATACTAGTGCGCAATGATGTCAATTTTTTTAAAAATCGGTTGCTGAACTGTTAACTAATATTTAGTAGTAATGTCAACATTGGATCGCTTCTTTTTCCTAAGTATAATTCTAACAAAACCATTTACATTTAACCTGTAGCCCTAACCCTAACACCATAGGCTGTGATTATTACCCATGTAAAACCCCATTTTTCAAAAGACTCCATTGCCGCAAACTCATTAAAAGAATCATTCTGCAACACTACGTAATTTGTGAGAAACTATCCGCATTTATTCAATACGAGCTTGCGGGAGTACCGACATAAAAAATCGACCTTGCCCTTGTCAATGTAGTCGACAAGGCGTGCGTGAGTGCGTACTGACCTGAAAAATCGACCTTGCCCTTGTCAATGTCTTCGACAAGGCGTGCGTGAGGGAGTACTGACCTGAAAAATCGACCTTGCCGTCCTTGTTCTTGTCAATGTCGTCTACAAGGCGTGCGTGAGTGAGTACTGACCTGAAAAATCGACCTTGCCGTCCTTGTTCTTGTCAATGTCGTCGACCGTGAGTGAGTACTGACCTGAAAAATCGACCTTGCCCTTGTCAATGTTGTCGACCGTGAGTGAGTACTGACCTGAAAAATCGACCTTGCCCTTGTCAATGTCGTCGACCTAGAGTGAGTACTGACCTGAAAAATCGACCTTGCCCTTGTCAATGTCGTCGACCGTGAGTGAGTACTGACCTGAAAAATCGACCTTGCCGTCCTTGTTCTTGTCAATGTCGTCGATGAGCTCGTCGAGTTCCTGGTCGGACATCTGTACCTGGGCCTGGATGGTCTTCAGGATGCCGCGGAGGTCCTCGCACGGGATGGCGCCTTTCCTGTTGTCGTCGAGGATCCGGAACATCTCCTTGTAGCACGTCTCCTCGTCCTTGTCTTTCAGAATGTGCGACAGCTGGGAGAAGAACTCGTCGAAAAAATCTACGTTGGCGTTGGGGGATTCGTCTGGAGGAGAGAGAGGGGGATTTTAGTTGGGGGTCAGGTGTAGAGGGCTCTGTGGCGGGGGTGTTATATTTGTTGGGAGGGGAATGCAGTGAGGGCAATAAATGTGCGGTGAAAGTAGATCATGTGTGGGTAAGACATTTCATTTGTGGGTGGGGCTTGGTGTGGAATTGTAAAGTCGGTGGAGCTTGATGTGGCATAGAATGAGTGGGTGGAGCTTGGTGTGGCAAAGAATGAGTGGGTGGGGCTTGGTGTGGCATAGAATGAGTGGGTGGAGCTTGGTGTGGCAAAGAATGAGTGGGTGGGGCTTGGTGTGGCATAGAATGAGTGGGTGGAGCTTGGTGTGGCAAAGAATGAGTGGGTGGAGCTTGGTGTGTCAAATGCGCGCATAGCATTTCATGTGAAGAGAGGGTGTTTCGTGTTCTTAATTAATATTTTAATATAGCATGTCTAAAACAGAAAGAAAAGGTACGATATCATGGATCAATTTCTATTTAATCTGAGTGTGTACTGTTGTAAAAAATTAAGACATATCTTCACGACACAAAAAAATAACAACGAAGGCATTATAAATTTGAGCATAAAATATAAGGACATTGTTACAACTGCAGGGTACACCCACTAACTCACCAACGAGAAACGTCGATGGTGATCTAAGGTCAAGTTTGACAGGTTGTTTCATATACCCAGAGGGAAAGAATGGGGTGTTTTGATAAAGCTAGGCTACATACACATACAGTAGGTTCATATAGGTAGTTTTAAATAGGTAGATTCACATAATAAGTTGGTTCAAATTATAGGTTGGTTCACATGATAGATTTACATGGTAGGTTCTCAATGGTAGGTTCAAATTTCATGATCAGAAGGGGTGTACGTAGAATGTATATAGAGTGTATATGGATGTTTAGATTTACAAGGTATGTTCACATTTACCGAAGGCACGTCGTAGAAAATTTAACTCAGAACCACAATCTTAAGCTCCATCATAAACCTAACTCAGAACCACAATCTTAAGCTCCATCATAAACCTAACTCAGAACCACAATCTTAAGCTCCATCATAAACCTAACTCAGAACCACAATCTTAAGCTCCATCATAAAACTAACTCAGAACCACAATCTTAAGCTCCATCATAAACCTAACTCAGAACCACAATCTTAAGCTCCATCATAAACCTAACTCAGAACCACAATCTTAAGCTCCATCATAAACCTAACTCAGAACCACAATCTTAAGCTCCATCATAAACCTAACTCAGAACCACAATCTTAAGCTCCATCATAAACCTAACTCAGAACCACAATCTTAAGCTCCATCATAAACCTAACTCAGAACCACAATCTTAAGCTCCATCATAAACCTAACTCAGAACCACAATCTTAAGCTCCATCATAAACCTAACTCAGAACCACAATCTTAAGCTCCATCATAAACCTAACTCAGAACCACAATCTTAAGCTCCATCATAAACCTAACTCAGAACCACAATCTTAAGCTCCATCATAAACCTAACTCAAAACCACAATCTTAAGCTCCATCATAAACCTAACTCAGAACCACAATCTTAAGCTCCATCATAAACCTAACTCAGAACCACAATCTTAAGCTCCATCATAAACCTAACTCAGAACCACAATCTTAAGCTCCATCATAAACCTAACTCAAAACCAAACCCAAGCCATGAAGTCAAAACAGAAACGAACTATTTTTTTTGCTTATTTAAAGATGTTGCATCACAACAGCAGTTAAACACAGACTAATTAATGTAAGTCTTAAAATTAATTAAACATGACTCCCATCTTACTAATTAATGTAAGTCTTAAAATTAATTAAACATGACTCCCATCTTACTAATTAATGTAAGTCTTAAAATTAATTAAACATGACTCACATCTTACTAATTAATGTAAGTCTTAAAATTAATTAAACATGACTCACATCTTACTAATTAATGTAAGTCTTAAAATTAATTAAACATGACTCCCATCTAACGTAGAGTGAGGATGGTATTGGTTATGAAACTAAATCTCTTTTATCCAAGATCCAGGTTAATGCACTTGTTTTTACACAGGTTAGGATTTAGGTTAAATCTTGACTTGGGAGGTTGGAAAGAAAGTGTGAAAAAAACTAAGTGGATTTTATTTCATTCCAACTGAAGTTTTTTCTTTTTGTTTTTTTAAGTATACTGAGCCAGGAGTTTTTTGAACGTTTAAAACACTTCATAAAACGTGAACTGGAATAGAGTGTACTCGCTAGCTCATGGGTGTGTGTGGTCGCCTGGATTGGAGCGGATAAGACGTGTAAGGATCTCTATTAGATCCTAAGAAAATTAAGGCCAACTCAGTTTTAATGGGTACCCAGCATTTGTAAGGTCTATAGATGCGTTGATCACAGAAACATATGGAGTTTTTGACAGCACTACGGACCACCTAGTAAACTATCATCAATTTTTTCATTTCTTTCTAACAACCAAAATATTATAGAATTAATTTCCTTATTTTTTGTTTATTATTATTGTTGCCTAATTAAACTAATTAAAGGTTTTTTTGTTACAGTAAATATTGTTTTAATGGGTGAACATTAACTGGCAGGTGGTGTATATGAGAGCCAGGTAGGGTATCTGTGAGGGGTGATGTGTGGGGTATATGTTGGTGTGGGTGGGGTATATGTTGGTGTGGGTGGGGTATATGTTGGTGTGGGTGGGGTATGTGTTAGTGTGGGTGGTGATATGTAGTGTTGGTGGTGATATGTTAGTGAGAGGGACGATATCAGTGTGTGTGGTGTTGTTGGTGTGATAGGGGTGATGGACGGCTTACACACAGATATGGACGGCTTATATACATAAATGGACGGCTTATATACCTAAATTGACGACTTATATGCATAAATGGACGGCTAAAACTCAAAAGTGGCTGATCTACGTATATGAATCTATACGGTCAACACCCGAACATAGACAGCCAATACAGATAGTGGACCTCCTTCACAGACAGTGGACGGCCAACACAGACAGTGGACGGCCAACACAGACAGTGGACCTCCTACACACACAGTGGACGGCCAACACACACAGTGGACGGCCAATACAGACAGTGGACGGCAAACACAGACAGTGGACGGCAAACACAGACAGTGGACGGCAAACACAGACAGTGGACGGCCAACAGAGACAATGGACGGCCAATAAAGACAGTGGACGGCCAACACAGACAGTGGACGGCCGATACAGTGGACGGCCGACACAGACAGCCCCCAGTTCAACAGATAACTCAAAACGTGAACGGCTCACAACGAACAAGTACGATGTGTGAACGGCTCACGACGAACAAGTACGATATGTGAACGGCTCACAACGAACAAGTACGATGTGTGAACGGCTCACAACGAACAAGTACGATGTGTGAACGGCTCACAACGAACAAGTACGATGTCTGAACGGCTCACAACGAACAAGTACGATGTGTGAACGGCTCACAACGAACAAGTACGATGTGTGAACAGATCACAACGAACAAGTACGATATGTGAACGGCTCACAACGAACAAGTACGATGCGTGAACGGCTCACAACGAACAAGTACGATGTGTGAACCGCTCACAACGAACAAGTACGATGTGTGAACGGCTCACAACGAACAAGTACGATGTGTGAACGGCTCACAACGAACAAATACGATGTGTGAACGGCTCACAACGAACAAGTACGATGCGTGAACGGGCCAGATTTTCTCCCGTGGAACATATTGAATGTTTACACCAGGCACATCTCTACTGATAAGCTATCAGCGACCCCCCTCGACCCCCTCCTAGAGCTGAGCTCAGCTAACCATCCAGGTACCAGAGGACGGGAACCAACTGCCATACACACCTGTTCATTACCTGGCAATGTTCGAACACACTCTAGGTAAGTAGCTTGTGTGTGGCATGGCTGTGAAAAACGTTTATCTCAGCAAGGTGACACGGGAACAAATCCATCCACTACAGATATTTTAGTAAAAAATTTATATTCAACTTTTTTAGCTCATGTATTTCTGTATGCCGATTCAGCAAAAATAAATCGCATATTTCGCGTACAATATATGCACAATGGATTTCGCTCTTAGGAAAAGTAGCGTGCCGAACTTTGGCCCAGTATCTTCCTAGGATGCGCTTCCTATAGAAGGTCAGATAACCGCTTAGAATACACCGACTGTACTACGACATACCTGAAGATAAGGCCAGTACAGCCCAAACACAAGAACTTGCATGGAAGTCATAAGATAAATGATGCTAGAAATGACGGGCAATACGGTTGAAATAGAACTTCACATGAGAGATCTAAAACTGGGTTTAACTTGCATTATCCTAATATAAAGTTGGATTCCGAAAAAAAAATTAACTACGGGGTGTGGAATCAATGAAAGCAATGTTAGAAGTATGATTCTGACAATTCCAGGCAATTCTTCGGGGGAGGCGTATGGAATTTATATAGAAAATATATACTTTTAACAGTGTCCCGTCCACCCCGTCAGAGTTTCTTCCAGGCATCTCTTCTGGGGGGGGGGGGGGGGGCGCCCCCCCCCGAAGAAAGTCTACCCCACCCCCCCGAAAATTTCAAGTGCCCCCCCCCCCCCCGGAGAAAAAAAGCCTGGAAGAAACACTGGATTCTGAGGGTACAGTTTACGGCGAACCTACAACGTAGGTAATCCTTGGTAATCTCAAGGAAAAAATATTTAAAAATAAAGAAAAAGCCGATTTAAAAACAGACAGGGTGACAACGAAATGGAGTGATTCATCCTTAACAAGATTCAGTGAGACATGTAAACAAGGCGCGTGCGCACGTGCAAGGTGATTTAAAAACGTGGATTCGTTTCAAAGAGAGGTAATTAATATTTAACGACAAACTCAAAACACATTTCGTACGAGTTCGTGAAATCTGTTATGAATTTTCAGAAAGTTTCTTTTTTGACTGAATCTTTGCAGCTGTAGTTTACCTTGGTTACATGAGTTGGTTTTGATACTTTAATTTTTTTGTGTTCCTTTTAAAAAAATATGGCATAGTGTTGCTATTATCCGTAAGACTTGTAAAATAACTTATTATTATTTAAGCGAACGAATAAGTTACATTATTAATTTTAATGTCGTTTTGCCAAAGGTCAATGATCTTTCCCTAAAATAACGACATTTAAACAATGTATATTGTAACGATGTATAAAATAAATCTGCATTTATTGCATGACATTTTCTGGTAGTAAATATTAAAGATCAAATTTTTTTTTACCAAACTGACTTAACTACACAAGTCTAGTCTACAGTTTATTTTTGTCACAGGTACTACTGAGTACTACCTCCCTGTTGTAACTAACACACATATACGTTGGGGGGGGGGAGTGGGGAACTGAGGGAGATGAGGGGGGTAGAATTCTTGAAATAGTTAATGGTAATTGCGTATAGATTTCAAGTTAGTGAATGTTGCGCTCAATAAGCGTACGTTAATCTGCTTGATGCCAAATACAACGAACCCAGATATCCCACTCCCCCACTCCCCCACCCCAGTTCTCCCCTCACCTATCTACACCCAGGCCAGTCTTGTAGGAACTTAACCCAGGTGACACGCCAGGAATTTAATCGACATATTCTTCAGGTAGATAATCCTGAAATAGAAAAACAGCAAAAGTCGTCCCCCTTGCGTTTGATGGATTATGTTTTTCTACGGATAGCCGGAGATTTAGCACGGAGCAGACGAGAATGGCGATAATCTTGACCCACTTCCCAAAAAGAGCAGCAGGCACATTTTTCTCACCTTCTAAATGTCGTGACCTACTTAAGTGGGGGGGGGGGGGAGGGTACTTTAGGCGGCAGGTGTGAGGTAATCTGCTGCTCACAAAAGTTTGCCAGAAACGTCCGATATTAAATAACGAACTTATAAACTTAATTATTAGCAATAAAAATGCCATCTTTAATTTGAGGTTAATCAGCTATATCTAAACGATGGAATAAAAAACCGAACGGATAAGATGTAATTAACTTCTGAATACATTTATCATTTTTGTGAACATTTAATAATCTAATTATATTAAGGAGTTCGACAGACTCCTCAAAGGGCATTAACTTTGATGATTCTAGAGGAAATAAAATAAAGAGAACGCTAGAAGATAATGGAAGGATTGTATTGCAGCCCAACCCATCCCCACCCATTTTACTGTATGAACAGCGCCAAGAAATCTGACTTAGATTACATTTAAAACAACGTTTAAAAGATTTGAATGAGTAGATTGCTTCAAGTTACCCAGCGCTTATGTCATTAAACACTTCCAGACATGCGCGTCTGGGGGGGGGGGGGTAAAAAATAGGGGGAGTGGTAAGTGAATCCCCTCCCTTTTTTTACGTTAATTTCATGATGCAATAATATAATCTAAAATGTATGGGGAATTCTACACACGTTTAAATTTATTCACATTTGGGGGGAAAAAAGTATTTGTTTTATTGTTTTTATTATTATGGGTTTTGTTTATGAATATACAAGTAAGTATGAGGTAAGGTGGCGTTGGAGCAGTGTTCACATTTTCCTTGGTTAAACAAAATGAGGGGGAAGGGGGAGGTACATGTAAACATCATAGGTTTAACTCGAGCGTGAGGAACTTCAACGACGAAGAAATAAATGTAAACATAAAGGTAGAGGACAGGATAAGGTATAATCCGGTTCAGTTAGATTCAGCTTATCAAAGTACTGCCATCTCACTAGTTTTACATCAACAAATGTAGGCTTACAAGGTTCAGCGCCGATCAGTAGGTAGATACCTTTAGCTATAGTATCTAATGCTTAATGTGGTTAGCTAGATCGGCTACTTGATACCTCTAGGTATAGCACCTAGCTGCTTAACTGATGTAAGCGTAGATCGTGCTTAATACCTCTAGCTATAGCAGCTAGCTGCTAAATGTGTGTCGTTAACTAAATCGGCTATTAGATATCTCTAGCTATAGCACCTAGCTGCTTAACTGGTGTAAGCTAGATCGGCTATTTGATACCTTTAGCAATGGATTTCTAGCTGCTAAACTGATGTCGTTACCTATATTGGCAATGAACTTCTAGCTGTTACAGGGGGACTGTGGTTAGTTAGATCTGTTACTAGATACCCTTAGCTAGAGAATCTAGTTGTTGTGGGAGACTGGTGAGGTTTGGATGGCGTATCTTAATGGGGTTGTTAGAGGCGTTGATAAAATTAGCTGATGGGGGGCGGGGGCAGTAAAAAGATGGTGGTAATGACTGGTATCACCTGAAATGGCCGGAAATATTCTCTTTGAACATGTGAAGGGAGATGATATAGATAGGTGTGGGGGCGAGGCTTTGGTATAATGATATAGTAGGTTCTTAAAGTTGTGTTCTCATGCTCTACCTCAGTGTACCCTATCAGGCTACTACACTTAGCGCACCATGATACCTTATCATGGTGCTTCATAGGGTTAACCTAGGAAACTACCAAAGGCTACCTACACCACAAGGTAGCGAACTAGATACTTCACGAGAGAGCCAGGTAAGACAACCACACAAGACAACCACACAAGACAACCACAGAAGACAACCTCACAAGACTACCACACCAGACAACCACACAAGACAACCACACAAGACAACCACACAAGACAACCACACAAGACAACCACACAAGACAACCACACAAGACAACCACACAAGACAACCACACCAGGCAACCACACAAGACAACCACACAAGACAACCACACAAGACAACCACACAAGACAACCACACAAGACAACCACACAAGACAACCACACAAGACAACCACACCAGGCAACCACACAAGACAACCACACAAGACAATCACACAATACAATTACACAAGACAACCACACAATACAACCACACACGACAACCATACAAGACTACCACACCAGACAACCACACAAGACAACCAACGACTGAAGACAACCACACAACGCTACCAAACGAAACTGGCCCACCCGTAGAATCGCGTCCTATTATAAAAATGATTACAGCAGTTTATAAATCACGAAGACAGACCTCGTCACTCAGTGTTCTATTTGACCCCGGCGACCACGTGACCAGTGACCCCTAACTACAGAGACCCCATTAATGGACACAGCTACACGACATCATAGCCCGTGTTTTGTACTGAAAAAGCTACAGTGTTTTCCACCTTAAAATACTTCAGTTTATTTCTTCTCCCAGTCATTTTATGAAAGAAAGCAACGGAAAAGAGAAGAAAAAGACAAAAATAGAGAAAGAGAAAAATACATAATATACAAAAAGATTGAGTGGAAATAGATAACATTAAACCGATAGTAAAAAGAGAATAAGATTATTTAAAAGGAGAAAAAAATAGAGTTAAAAAGCTATTGAGTATAGGCCTAAATTATAAAGGAGAGCAAAAGAAAACAAAAGTAAAAAGTCAAGATCTAAACTAGATCTAGATGGAAGAGAAAAATGAGTTTTTTAAAGAAAAAAAATGAGTTATAAAACGTATTAAACCATCTAAACTAGTTTATACCCGACGCAAACTACGTGTGTATTATAAGCAAATTGAAAGCTAAAACGCTAAAAGAATTGACTGAGACTTACTGTCTTCCATTGTACTAAGACGATTGTGGAATCAAATGAGCCTCGGCTACCAGGGACGGCGACAAGCGAGGAGGACGAGACGCTCCGTGTCGAAATATCACACTGAATGAGAACGGCGCTAGAGGTGGCGGCTGGCTTGATTCCACACTCACACCGACTACGTCACTCTACCGGGGGCAAGTTTTGTGGCGGTGTAATACAATCTTACGTTTGTCTTATTACACTTACAGGTAATCAATGGGGGTTGAGAAATGGGAATCTGTGCTTACACTTACACAAATAGTTGATTCGCTTTAATATTTAAATTTAATCAATGGTTATTAACTCAGTAACACGCGAACCTGCAATCAAAGCAAAATAAACACAGTTTTTAACTTCTCTAAAATATGAAATAGATATAAAATTTCTCTAGATATCGCAGTAAAAGAAAAAGCGTGCATTGGGCGGATGTCTAGAAATCCGGTGGGGGAAATAGGACTTGAAACTTCCCTGGGAAGGGGTGGGTGCTGGGGGGTGAACTTGAAGTTTCCACGGGGGGGGGGGGGGGAGGGGGGGGGGCTAAAGTCTATATTTTGTATGTAATTTTTCTAATGTCCGTGTGTAATGAACGAGCTCCTGGTGGGGGTTCGGGGGAAAAGTGCCCCCCCCCTTAAAAGATACCAGAAAGAAACGATTGTTACGGTGACTAATTTAGTCAGTCGTGCGTGTGTGTGGGGGGGGGGGGGGGGTTATCGTTGACTACATGCTAGAGCTACCTTCCTCGTCCACATCAAATGCCTGCGCCCCTTGTTAACGTGATTCCAATATTCCAATATGTGTCAACCCCCCCCCCCCCCCGCCCCCGCCCCTCCAGGTAAACTCAACATCGTAAAGTTTACCTGTACTATAAAACAATTACTGTTGACGTCACACCATCCTCCCTCCCCACCCCAAAACTTCATCTTTAAATGAATTAGCCAATCAACCATGACGTTTAATTTCAACAAATATGCCAATTATTTCCGCATTCATTAATTTAGCCGCACCAAGGAGGGGGGGGGGGTGTCGGGGTTGTTAATTCTAATCAACGTCAGGTGGGGTAACTTCTTAAGCCCTCGATATCAAAGGTGAAGGTTTGGGTCCTCCATCTTTTACGACCCCCAAATGTCAGGATTGTTGTTTTATTTAGATACACGGAGCCATGATGCAGTAGGAAAAAAAAGTTGGTTGACGTTTTATTTTTGGAAGTGGGTGGAGGTTGAAAGGGGTTAACATGTGTAGCTTATATTTATTTATTCTGATATTTTTTGTACCCCCTCACTCTCTCGTATCCTTACGTCAAGATTTTGTTTTCCCGATCGGGTTTCGATCCCGGTTGTTGCGAGTGTTGTGCAAATATTGTCGTTGCCAATGTCACGAACCAATCGTGTACCTGGTGGCGTCGGTAAGGTCTGCACCCTCCCCTGCACCCTCCCCTGCACCCTACCCTGCACCCTCCCCTGCACCCACCCCGCACCTGTCGCAGCACCCCCTACACAACTGCCGACACCCCTTAAGTACTACCGCTCTGGTGAGGTGGAGGGGAGTGTTTCACTTTAGCACCATTGTTCCAGCAACTGAAGATACCCACCCACCCCCTCCCCCAGAGTTTAAGATATGTTGGCACAGCTTCAGATTTTCGGTGGAGGATTGATCACAACAAAAAACTCAATAAAAACAAATGGAGGGGGGGGGGGGGGAATGTGGGCTATACTTAACTAGTAAAATAGTTCACTCAAAAACTAAACAAATCACTCGGAGGCTGCCTGTGGATACATACGTTGTTTTGGTAGCCTGAAGGCTCTCTCTCTCTCTCTCTCTCTAACAAAATATAAGGCCTAACACACCCACTTACCCTCTGTCATCAACCAAAAACGCCCATTTACCCAACTAACACACCCACTGATACCCGTCTAACACGCCTACTCATCCACTTAACACGCCCACCATCTCACCATCACGCACTTTACACGCCCACTAACTCACCATCACGCACTTAACACGCCCACTAATTCACCATCACCCACTTAACACGCCCACTAACTCACCATCAACCACTTGACACGCCCACTAATTCACCATCACCCACTTAACACGCCCACTAACTCACCATCAACCACTTGACACGCCCACTAATTCACCATCACCCACTTAACACGCCCACTAATTCACCATCACCCACTTAACACGCCCACTAACTCACCATCAACCACTTGACACGCCCACTAATTCACCATCACCCACTTAACACGCCCACAAACTCACCATCACCCACTTAACACGCCCACTAACTCACCGTCACCCGCTTAACACGCCCACAAATCAGCAAGTCATGACCGTAATTGCTACTATCAAACATAGGATGTTACTTCTACTAATCACTGTTAGAGCTAGTACCTAGCGAGGTTTTATATTATTTAAAAGGCTTTCTCGATCGCCTCATCCATAGAGTTTGAATTAAAATCGCGTACAAGCAAATCTGATTTCGAATATTTGTTTATTTAAACATGTTTAAAACTAAAACATCTCGAGAAACTAAGCATCCAATTGAACTCAACCATCAACCATGTTTAGAAGACCCGTATGTCAAAACACAGACAGATCCCCAAACAATGTGACTGTATCAAAAGTTAACGACTCTTTTTGCACATTTCTAACTGGTATGATATTTAATATACAAGTTGGTTTCCAAGTCTAAATGCTAATTTGTTAAGCAATGAGCAGATCTTAGTGAGACTCAGAGGATTAAACCCCATCTTGGCATACACATTGAAATATACCAACGCCCCAGATTTGCTTGTACACGTCTGATTTACGTCCACAAAATTAAGTCAAATATTTTAGACTGCTACACGCAAATTTAAAAAAATATTCTTCGCCATCCAGCACTAGATTGTTTGTAATTGACGCGTGTATTTTTTTTTTAAGTTCTATAAAAAATTAAAAAAACAACAACTCGTGTTCGAATGTGTCTCCGTGTAGTTAGTTAATTAGACTCGCTTGATTAATTATCATTTAATACCGTTAAAACAGGCAGATAATGCTGGCGTGTTAAAGGTTTGGGTGGGAAATTTGAAGATGAGAATACAGGGGCCCCGGGCAGTAGAGGGTTAAGGGGGAAAAGTTATAGATGCGCATATAGGGGCAGTAGAGGGTTGGGAAAAGTTATAGATGCGCATATAGGGGCAGTAGAGGGTTGGGAAAAGTTATAGATGCGCATATAGGGGCAGTAGAGGGTTAAAGGGGAAAAGTTATAGATGCGCATATAGGGGCAGTAGAGGGTTAAGGGGGAAAAGTTGTAGATGCGCATATAGGGGCAGTAGAGGGTTAAGGGGGCAGGGGAGAAAGATTTTCTAGGCCAACATTAAAAGGCCAAGTTGTGATCTGGCCCGTGGCCAAGAATAGGAAAATAGGTAGGGGTGAAATCAAGAACAATAACTCCAGCTTAGATTCCTGTACGTGGGATGAAATCAAGAACAATAGTTCGAGCTTAGATTCCTGTTTGATGAGCTTATCTCGTCTTTTATGTGGGTGCTAAGCTGTTGCTTATATTTACTTAAAAACTTGACGGTCCAAGGTGCAGGTGAAGTAGAGTTCATCTGTTTCTGTGACCTTTCAGTACTTTGTCCAGCCGCCTTTACTTTACCTAACGTGAGTTCGATACCAATCAGAGCTGGGTGGACTAACTACATTCTACTGACACGAAACCTGGATTCGAACTAGAGACTTTCGGGCTTACAGTCGTATGCTCTACCATCCTACCACACCGTCCCTCATTATGTATATTGTGGCAACCTTAATGATGCTAGAAGCTACTGGAAGAGCCTTCATGGCAGAACCAGTTACTGTAGGTATCGGAGCCATCCAATACCGCCATCGGAGCCATCTTATATAGCCATCTGATTTAGGCATCAGGGCCATTTAGCGGTACGGTCTTTTAACAAGAGAACCAGAGCCATTAGAAAAAGAGCCAAATAGAAGTATGGAGCCAATCTTTAGTGAGAGCAACAGGTAATGTTTTATTTATTTATTTTACCTTTGCCGTTCACTACAACATATCCTTCTAAAACGATCATTGCTGTTATGCCCTAGTTTGTTACCAGGTACTATATGGAGTTATTTCCCTTCTTTTTATACTGTATCAGTAGTTTCCCTTTCCTAAAGTCTAGGGCGGGAGTTTTTTTGGCAAACCGTCTGCTACGAACATTAGGAGATATCAATAAATTCTGATAAAAAACAAATTTCAAAGGGAAGGGAGATAAAAGTACCCAAAAATATATCATCGCTGCCCTCCCTTTTAGTATCTGTTTACGATTTTGGCTTTTTGTTGTTTGGCGGTTAAACTCGGGTTTGATGAAGACCGTAGGCCGTGACAGTGTTACGGGTCACCGGTGGCATTATTTCATGTCAGTCTGTCAAATCCTTGCCTAGCTAGCAGACGCAAGTTTTTGCAGGTTGGGCCAGGTGTGCGCAGGTAACGATACCTGGTTTAACCTCTGTAACAATTTCTGACGATTTGGGGGTTTAGGGTGAGGGGAGGATGGGAAAATAAAGTTCGGCATTTCGCGTTTTATTTTCCGATTCTTCCAACCCTGTCTGATGGTAGCAAACATGGAGATGTCGTCATCGGCGGTTGACGGGCAGGGACACGTTGCTCACTCGAGTGGACGAATAAATCAGGGGGGGGGGGGGGGGGGGCTAGGTGCTAGTGGAGAGAGAGTTGATTCATGTCTGAGTTGGGCCAAGCTTAGCTGTAAACTTTCTTGTAAGGTTAAAGTCGCCGTAAATATCAACTTTGGTTTTTTTTTGGCGTTTGTAAAGGGATGCAATATTCTTTAACACGTGTGTGTGTGTGTGTATTGTGCTCTATTCATAATCGAGAGGATTATGAATAGAGCATATAGAGAATATATATATATATATATATATATATATATATATATATATATATATATATATATATATATATATATACATATATATGTGTGTGTGTGTTGAAGCAATTATCAACAGTATCAACGCGTCTTTCTTCTTTTTTTACAAGCTTTTATTTAACTCACTTCCTCTGTCTGTCGTAAGTCGTCAGTCGTCAGTCTAGACGGAAACGCAGGAGTGAAA